TAATATGATTTATTTAATCTTTTAGAAAGGACAGCTGGGCAGACCAATTTTGGATGTGCCATATTGGAATGCAAAGCCAGCTCCCATGCCTAACATTGGATCAAAATATGGAAGAAAAGCTACTTGGATAGGTGCAAGTGGGGACCAGACTTTCTTACGAATTGATGAAGCACTTATTAATTCTCACGTACTTGCTACATCAGAAATTTTTGCCAGTAAACACATAATAGGTAATACCCAAAATAAACAAATTATTGATTATTGATTGATAGTAAATGATTCATCTTTCCCTATAATGAGATACAGTCTCGTAGCTTTTTGTTTTCTTCTGTTGGAAGAAATTTAAACGAAGCCTCTAGGTGTCTGTGTTTACATGTGTGTGTGCTGGAAGAATGGAATAGTTGAGAGATATAGAAACCAGAGTATTTATTAAGCTAGACAGTGGTGGAAATATGAGCTAAATTGTAGTAGGATAAAACCTGTTTCGGAGTGAGGATTTTCTCTATTGTTTATTGTTAAATAAATGATAGAAATTAATCTTTATAAGAGGTTAAATAAATCAAACTTTGAAGTTTCATTAAGACCAAGTTATCAATCCATACTTTATGTGCATGTTACCATGAATAATTATTATATAGAGTGGTATAGCATAGAGATTAGGAGCATGGGTCATGGATTTAGATACCCTGAGGTTTTAGTCCTAATTCTCCCACTTAAAGATTTTTTAGTTACTTAACATCTTCATGTCTCAGCTTCTTTATCTGGGAAATGGAGATAATAATACTTTATGGGTTGGGGGGAATATAAAAGGGTAATGCATACTAAAATTACACATAAGTGTTTTTTCCCCCAAGGCTTGGTACCTGCTTCTTTGTCAGAACCTCCTCCATTTAAATGTCTTCTGATAAATAAAGTGGATGGGAGTTGTAAAACCTTTAATGACTCAGAACAAGAGGATCTGCAAGGATTTGGTGTGTGTCTTGATCCTGTGTATGATGTAATTTGGAGGTAAGCATCTCCATTTGTAAAATAGAGTAGTAAATAAGTTTTATCAAATTATACTCTTGTGGTAATGTAAAATTCATGTACAAGCAGACTTTTCGCACCTGAGAACCCTCCTGTTTAACTAGTAACTACATATTTCTATTGTAGTGATTTACAGGGGCCTTTACAGTATAGCACAGTGGTTAAGAGTATGCGTTTCAAGCCATACTGCCTAGTATGGCTTAATCCTAGCTCCACTATTTGCTTTCTCAGTCACCTTGAAGAAGTTATTTTGACTCTGTGTGCCTCAGTTTTCTCGCTTATAAAATGTGGATAATAATAATAGAGCCACATAATAGGTGCTATAGAACTGTTTGCTACTATCGTTATAATTGTTAGTTTTAGAATTCTATTGTTAATTATTTTAGTTTATCAGCAATCCTGTTTATACTGTATAGAATTCATTCTATTTCTTGTTCCCATAAATATCTAATTATTACCAACTGTATAGAAGAAATAATGCCAAAGACAGTGCAGAATAAAGAAGGTAATTAAGCCTGCCCTTTAGGAAAGTCCATAACAAAATACCCATATTGGTAGAAAAATGTGTAGGGCTAATATAAACTCTGGAAATTATAAAAATGTAGAGACAAATAAAGGAACACAAGAGACTGAAAAGAGAAAATTATATTGTATTTGTTTAAAATGTATTGTGGTAGTTTATGTACAAATGAATAAAGAAAAAAGTTATCCTTCTCAGTGTTTCTAGCTTTGGATACTAATAGGAGGTATACCCCACCATTACCAGAGCGGCTCATCCCAGGGCTGGGCACTTTTTTCTTTCCTCTTGTGTCCAACCTCAGTAGGCAGGAATTCTGGTAAGTTGAAAGATTGAAGTGTCATGAGTGAGGAGAGGGAGGAGACCTTTTCTCTGTTTTCTTTCTAATGCCCAGGCCTGCTTGCATTTCCATCAGCCAGCCAAGTCTTGCACACAGATGATCTCGAATGCCTTGCCAGCTCCTTGATCATTGTCTCCCTTGTTCCAAAACAGAGGTTGATAATGAGGCCTGCATTTGGAGTGAAGAAATTGCAGTGCTTCCCAGCCTGTTGACCAACTTACTTTTGGTTGGGCATTTTGTAAGGAGACCTAGAGGCCAAAATTGGATTGAGTAGTGCTTTTAGATCTCCCCGGCAGCATTGTACAGGGTACATTAAATAACAAGAGACTCATATGAGTGATCTTTTGTAGTCATTCTTATGAAGACATGAGGTACTTAAGAACCAAGGATAAAGTCGTGTTGGTAGGATAGAATGGGTAGGATAGAGAAGAGAGTAGGTGTAAAGATAGAATTGTTTGCAATTATTTACTGTTTGCAAGTCAATGTATAAGAAACTTAGTTACCAAAGAGCAAGCCCTGGTTTGTACTTAGGTGTAAATTGATGTTTTTTGGTAGTTCCTGTATGTTTTATTTTTTTAAATGAAATAAATATGCATTAACAAAACAAAAATAAAAATTGGCTGTATGGAATTTATTCCTGGTTGTGTTCATTAAGTTAGCAATAAAAGTATAACTAAGTTCTAACAGTACAGACTTAGTTGAACTAGAGCCATTTCCCTGGGGTCTTAAACTCTGAAGTATGATGTCCACTAAAGCAATCTTATCTTTTTCACCTATGGTGGTGGCAGTGGGACCACCCATTTGAGATGGTCTTAAACGCCCTTGGTTTTTGGCACCTTGGCCATTTTCTCCATTGTTTCAAAACAGAAATGAAAAGATGTCTCAATAAAACAGCTGGAAGTATTTTTCTTTAAATCAGGATAAGAGTTTCTTTCTGTTACTCTGACTTCTGGCTGCTTTGTGTCCTTTTGTGTTTTCAGTAGGTTACTTGCACATTTTACAGCTATCATAGGCATTGCAGATCCAGTATTAGCTAACTTTGACTTTCCTTTTGGCCTACATCATCTTCCTTTTGTATTCTTTAGAAGCTAACTTCTCCTGAATAATTAGAAATTTACTATCTATAAAGAGCAGATAAATGTTAAGAATAGTGATTTTATTTCCCACTTAAAAATTTATGCAAACAATACATGAATTTCTGTTATTTTTTTTAAAAGCAAAGCAAAAATACATACAGGGGAAAGCCTGGTCATTCTTCAGGTCTTTTTCTTACCCCATGCCAAATCCCACTAACCTTTTCTGTGGGTCACAAGTATTAAGTTTGGTTTATATTGTTTGACACCTTTTAAAATGCATGTATTTTGCTTTTTATATAAATAAAAATATACTTATTCTAAAAGTTAGGTTTTTCTCAATAATAATTTGGGGATCTTTCCTACTCAGTATTTAAAGAACTGCTTCATTATTAAAGCTGCATACAATTCTACAGTTTGGATATATGAAATAAACTAAACTGCCCATGAGTGACCATTTTAGATTGTTTTTTAATATTATGGTATTACTGTAATGCTACAGTGAACACACATGGATGTCCACACACAGAGTTTTGTACGCATGTGAGAGTATTTCTACATGGTAGCTTTTAAGAAGTGGAATTGCTGAGTTAAAAGATAGGTTCATAGAATACAGATGTATCCTGCTAAGTGTCCTTCAGTACTTTCTCACTAACTGTATTTGAGAATTCATATTTCCCCATACTATTAGCATATATAAATAGTACTATTATTTTTCCATGTTTTCATATTTTAATTTTATTCAATAAATATTCATAAGTACATTAATAAATATTTACAGTGTTAGTGTATACTATATGGTAAGTAAAGAATGACATAAAGTGAATAAGACAATGCCTGTGTTCTTATGGAAATATTTTTTTTAGTGGGTAGAGACTCTATGAAGGTGAATAAATAATATACGTTATAGATCTTGCTCAGCAGCATTAAGGAAAATGAGGATGCCATGATTGAGAAGAACAACAGAGACCTCTCGTCCACACAGTGGAGAAAATATAAATTAAGATCTTGAAGTATAAGAAAGAACCAGGCATTTGAAGAGTCAGAAAAAGTTTTCTGGGCAGTAAAACTTTAGTAAGCCCAAATGCTCTGATGCAAGCAAGAGCTTGGCAATATTTTAGGAATTTGAAGAAAGCCACTGTGGCCAAAGCATAGTGAGGGGCATGAAATAAAATCAGAGGGGTAGGCAGGGCCAGGACATGTAGGACTTTGTAGGATAGATTAAGGAATTTGAATTTTCTTTAAAATAGGAAGTCATTGTAGGAATTTGAGTTGAGAAGTGACATAAAGGGATTATACTTGGTGTGGAGAATGGATTGGAAGGAGGCAAGGTAGAAGGTAATGCAGTAGTGTAAGGGAAAGATGATGGCTTGAACCAGGTTTGTAGTGGGGAAGATGGAGAGAAGTAGTTAGCAATCTGTATTTTGGAGTAGAACCAACAAGACTTGCTTGTATTGGGAGGATAAAGAAAGGAAGTAGTCAGGGATGATTCCTAAGATTCTTATTTTGATATTTGAGTAGGCTTTGGTGACATTAACTGAGCCAAGAAAGGCAGAGAGAGAAATTTTTGTCAAGACTTCTGTTTCTGACATGGTAAATTTGGGATCTAAGTGAAAATATTCAGTAAGCAATTAGATGGATGTCAGGCTCAAAGGATTCATCTAGACTGGGTATATAAATTTGAGAGTTTTTCATTTATAGATGGTGCCTAAAGCCATGATATTGAATGAAATCACCTAAGCAGAGAATGTAGGTTGATAAGAGAGTCCTGGACCAAGCCCTGAGAACTTTCAAAATTTATAATAGAAGTCCAGTAAGGAGGAAGAACTAGTTAGGAGACAGAGAAGGAGCAGCCTGTGAACTTCAAGGGAAAGCCAGGAGGGCATGCTGTTATAGAAAGGGGAGGGGGAGTGAGTCAAGGAGAGGATGTTCAGTGGCGTTGAACACTGCTGAGGGGGCAGCTAAACTAATAACAAAAAATTCCATTGGATTTGGCTACTTAGAAGTTATTTCCAACTTTGAGAAGAATAATTTCGTTGAAGTGTTACGTGCAAACTAGGTGGATGTGATTTGAAGAGCGAATGGGGATTTCCACTTTTGGCAATTTGGTTAACGAGATACTTGGAAAGACCCTATACTTAAAAAAACAAACTTTATATTTTATTCAGTGCTTGGCACTCAGCTAAGAAATCGCTAATATTACCATCACTGCCCCCTAAACCTCCCCTCTACCTCAAGAAAAGAAAACCAGCATAAAAATAGAAATCACATCTCCATGAGTTGACCCTTGAGCAGCCAACAGTCAGCATATTGAAACACTGGATTGCACTGAGGGCAGATGCTTATTATTAGCTCTGCAATTTGGAAAACAAGCATTGTGCCAGCTGCAAGGTAAGGAAAATAGAAACTGATCCTGAAACTCTCAGATTAAGCCTCTGGCTCTGGAATGATGGTAAAGTGGGACCAGATAAGTAATCCCCTTTGTCTCCAGCAAAAGGCAAGAGTTAATCATCTTAGAGAAAGCCCCTCCATTTAGGCCCACAGGTTTTTAAAGAAGTAAGATTTAATCAAACAAGAGTTTGAACTATCAGATTGCTTAACATGTAAGGAACATCACTGTTAGTGTAATTCAATAGCAAGATCAATTTCATATGTTGGAATTGTCACAAACAGAATATAAAGTATGTATGAACTGTTTAAAAATAAATCACAAAACTGGGCAAACAAAAGACTGAAAATGAGACTTAAAATGATGAGATGTATTTGAAAAACAAGGAAGCAGACTTGTATAAAGGAAGAATTGTTTTTTAAACAAATGGATAGATTAGGAGATTTGAACAGGTGAGAGAATAAACCAGAAGACACATCAGGAATATTAACAAAGAGACAAAAATATAAAAAATATGAAAGGAGATTTGAAGAATTTAAGAAAATCTAATAGACATTCAAGAAGGAAATATTATAGATTAAGCATTCCAAAGGAGAAATTAGAGATAATAGAGGACAAGCAATATTTGAAAAGATAATGCCTAAGAATTTTCCAAAATTAAAAGAAATTTGAATCTGCAGATAATAGAAACTATGTATTAAAATATTTCCATTATCTACAGTCAAGAGACAATGTAGTGAAACTGTAGAACACTAAAGACCAAGAGAAAATCTTAAAGCAACCAGAGAAAAAGAATGATCACCTGCAAAGAAACAACAATTAGATTAATAGGACTTCTCGAAAACAATAATGCAATAATGTTAATGCTACTAATTATAGAAGCTACTAGCATAGAATTTATTTGTGCCAAGTACTATCTTAAGTGCTTTTTAAAAATAATTTTAAGAATTTTTAATTGCGATTAAAAAATACAACATAAAAGTTACCATCTTAATCACTTTAAAGTGTACAATCAGTAGTGTTAGGTATATTTATGTTATTGTACAGTAGATTTCCAGAACATTCTTGTAAAACCAGAACTCTATATTCATTAAACAGCAGCTACCGATCTCCCCCACCCTCTAAACCCCAAAAGAGGTTAGGAAGTGGAGACAACTTTTTGAGGATTTGGTTATGAAAGAGATAAGAGAAGTGGAATAATGACAGGAGAACATTGTGGGTTCTCTATAGCTTTTCTTGGTGCTTTCCTGTTCATTAATAAGGTCAAACATCCACATCCATTCTATTTGTGTTTCCTTTCTCCCATCCAAGTACTAACCAGGCCTGACCCTGCTTAGCTTCCGAGATCAGACAAGATCGGGCGCGTTCAGGGTGGTATGGCCGTAGACTGTGTTTCCTTTCTGAGAATAGCATCCTGTGTCTTTTGACCATTTTTTGCTATTAGATTGATTGTCTCTACCCCTAGACATCATGGATGTTGTAGTTTTGTTTTATACGTATGCTTTATATATTTTCTTTCAACTTGTCCTTTGTCCTTAAACTTTTTAATGGGGTTTTTGTTATATAAAAGTTTCATATCTATATGTACATATCAAATTTTTAAGTGTATAGTTGCTATATTATTAATGAAGTATTATAATCTATTTTACTGTTTTCAAATTCACTTGTGATATAAATTATTAATATGTTTAACTTAGATATGAAAAATAATGACCTACATCTCATTCTTTTAAACTGACTATATTTACTCTCTTTGTATCAGCAGTTATATTTTAGGACTTTTTTTAAACAAAAATACATGTTGAGGTGCTATAATTATTCTTTTTCTCGAAAGGTTTCGACCAAATACTAGAGAACTGTGGTGTTACAATGCAGTGGTTGCTGATGCCAGACTTCCCTCTGCAGCAGATATGCAGTCCAGATGTAGCATTCTAAGTCCTGAACTTGCCCTGCCAACAGGATCAAGGGCTCTCACCACAAGATCTCATGCAGCTTTGCACATTCTAGGTAGCGTTGCTATTTGTTGTACAGTTAATTTACATTAATGTGTACTGTGCTGAAGATTGAGGTTTTTTTTTAGAGTATTTAAATTTGTATGTCATTCTGTCATGTTTGTTAAACAATGTTGATAATAACATGCAAGGTGCAAAATAAGTTAAATCCTCTAAGAAGCTTATCCTACAGAAAACAATACATAAGACCTGTACCAACACCATGAAAGATTTATATATGTCCAAATATAAAGTAGTCTTGAATATAATTTCCCCACTAGTAGACCCTTAAAAATAATGGTTTTGGTTAACTTGTATAAAT